TGTTATATTACAGTCACTCGAGCATTATAAAAGTTATTTAATATTGCTTTACCTTGAAAGTAAATCAGGTTTAATTTTACAGCCTATTTCTTACATTAATTTATTTTTATATAACTATATATTTTTATGTAACTACAGGTTATGATTTTTAAAGATTGATTTTAATTAATTAATTATTATTTTTATTAATGCTTTTTAATTATCATTAAATAAATCATACCGTTTTATGTGAAAAATTTGCATACACAACTACACGTAAAAAAATTCTTAGAAACAATTAGTCTCTTATGTGTTGATCTTTTTTTCTTGTTTACCAAACTGCTATGTTGCTAATCATGAACATGAAGTTGGCATTATGATTATGCAATTGTGATGTATGGAAATTTATTTGAGATCAATTTCGTAGATTGATGAAATTTATCTGTTACGTTCTTCTATAAAACAGGTACTTTTGGCAATGAATGCTAATGTAGAAGATCGTGGCATCAAAGGGGACTGCACTCCTTTGATGGAAGCCGCTAGTGCAGGACATGTAGATATCGTGACTTTACTGATTGCACATGGGGCAGATGTTAATGCTCAGTCTACATCTGGTAAAATTACCAATTTTATGTGTATTTTTTTATTTTTAGTGTAACGCCCATAAACTTAACGATACGTTAAATTTTTCGTCTTTATTATCATTCAAATATTGTTGAGGTTAGGCGGCGTTACTTTGATCGAAGGGAATGATACTCATAAAAGTATTTATATTGACTATAGGTAATACTCCTCTTATGTACGGATGTGCTGGTGGACATGAAGAAGTTGTACGAGTTTTATTAGAAGCAGGCGCCAATGTTGAAGATCACAACGAGAATGGCCATACTCCTTTGATGGAAGCCGCGAGCGCTGGGCATGTTCAAGTTGCCAAGATCTTACTTGATCATGGTGCCGGCATCAATACTCATTCCAATGAATTTAAAGAATCTGCATTAACATTGGCTTGTTATAAAGGACATTTGGAGATGGTACGCTTTTTATTGGAAGCCGGAGCTGATCAGGTAACAATTATTGTCTTGTCATTCTCATGTAGAGAACCATTCGAAAAATATGACTATACTGCCAGAGGTAGAGATTAGATAAAGAGATTGTTATATCTTTTCCGACTAGTGTGGGAAGAGAAAGAATTTCATCAATTTTCTATTCATGACAGACTTGCGAGTGACCATAACAATTATTATATATTTCTAGCTCTGAAATTATTTTTTAATTGAAAGAGCTAGAAATCGATCGATTTTGCTTTTAAATCCATGATTAGAAAATGAAAGATTTTTAAGAGGAAAAGGGATCAGGCAATATCTGATTGGCTTATATTATTGTTAACATTTTTATTCACAGAATAGTATGATGTTTTGGTATTATAAGAGATTTAATATTATAGAGAAATAGAGTTATAATAGAGTCCTTGACAATTTTGCTCATATTTAATAGCATGGATAAGACTTTGTCCAATCAACTGCGCTCTAGTATATAGTTCTTTATAGGAAAAATATCTTTTAGAATAAATTATGTAAGACAAGAGAACATAAACCATATGGTTTAAAAAATTTAACAGATTGTTATTTATTAAATATGTAATATTAATATTCAATAATCTTTAATATTGATAATTTTATACAAATATTGGCATTTTGATGGATTTTTACAGGAACATAAAACTGATGAAATGCATACAGCTTTAATGGAAGCATCTATGGATGGTCACGTCGAAGTTGCCCGTTTACTTTTAGATTCAGGTGCCCAAGTAAATATGCCAACAGACAGCTTTGAATCGCCATTAACTTTAGCTGCGTGCGGTGGTCATGTAGACTTAGCAATGCTTCTGATTGAACGTGGAGCAAACATTGAAGAAGTTAATGATGAGGGTTATACACCATTGATGGAAGCAGCACGTGAAGGTCACGAAGAAATGGTCGCTTTACTTTTAAGCCAAGGTACGAAATACTGTCTGTTTGAATAGTTAAACATCAATCAAATGGAAACAAATATAAATAGATGTAATTAACGAATAGGTGCGAACATCAATGCCCAAACTGAGGAAACTCAGGAAACAGCACTTACTTTGGCTTGTTGCGGTGGATTTTTGGAAGTTGCCGATTTTTTAATCAAAGCGGGAGCGGATATTGAGTTAGGTGCATCCACTCCTCTAATGGAAGCTGCACAAGAGGGACACTTAGATCTTGTCCGATATTTACTAGAATCCGCGGCAGATGTTCACGCTCAGACACAAACTGGAGATACGGCGTTGACATATGCGTGCGAGAATGGTCATACCGATGTTGCTGATCTTTTATTGCAATTTGGCGCTGATCTAGTAGGTTTTTTTGATCATTATAATACCTGCAAATTTACTTTTATATATTTTATATAATTTTATATATTTTTTTCTAAATTTGTGTTTCTTATATCTTTATTAAAGTTTGAGTTATTTATACTAATTTATTATATTCAAGGAACATGAATCAGAAGGAGGCAGAACTCCTCTAATGAAAGCATGTAGAGCAGGTCATATGTGCACAGTTCAATTTCTCATCTCGAAGCGTGCCGATGTGAATCGACAAACAACAAACAATGATCATACACCACTGTCCTTGGCGTGCGCTGGTGGCCATATTACAGTAGTTGAACTACTACTCTCACAATCCGCGAATCCATTTCACAAGCTAAAGGTAGAATTCTTATATTTGAAATAAATAAATCCATGTTCTTACAATTATATTTCCAATCTTTACAAATCAATAAGATGATAATTTTACAATAAATTTTGTGCGGTATTTATATCTTTATTTATATAAATATTATTTATATAATCTTTGAATATAACTTATTAAAATAAATTTATAGGACAACTCTACGATGCTGATAGAGGCGGCAAAAGGTGGCCACACCGCTGTTGTTCAATTGTTACTCGATTATCCTCATAGCATTATGATGAGTGCTCCTCATAGTGCTGCACCTGCCCCTATGTTATTACCACAGCAACAGTCACAACAACAACAACCTCAGTTGCAACAGCAATCGCAACAACAGCCGCAGCAACAGCAACAGCAGCATATAAGTCATCAACAACATGTACCTCATCCTCAAACATCTACGCAACCACAGCAACATCCACAACAGCAACAACAGCAAACGGCTGAGCAACAACAAGCTCAAAATCTTCAACCTAAGCACAATACACAAAAATCATTATTGAGAAAAAATCGATCAGTGACCATGATACCTGATATAGGCCTTACTTCTGCCGAAGCGCAACAAGTTCGCTCACAGCCCGCAGGAGAATCGACTACTATTACCAAGGATGATACCAATATTCTCGACAAAGGCAGTGGAGGTTTTACAAGTTTGTCAGAACCTAATATTAGTCTTAGTCCAACACCAGCAGCATCAACGCAAATGACACATGTCAGTGAAAGTCGGAAAACTAGACAAGAGCAAATTCTTCATAAGCAACAAATACTTGAAGAACTACAAGTACGTCTTTTATCTTATTATTTTTTATATATTATATTTAATAAAAATCTGTTGAGACACTTCTAGAAAAGATTATAAGAAAATTTTTGATTATATCAGTTTTCAAAAATTTTTTTGAATTTTTTTTTTACATATGCACATACAAAACACAAACAAGAAAGCTTTTTAGACGCGCTTTTTACGATATGATGGCCTTTTTTTTTTTTTTAATTAATTCCATTTTATCCCTTTTAGAGTAATTATATTTTTCAGAGGGTAGAACGCGAACTGCAAATTAAAGGAGCAGGACATTTGTTTCCTGGTCCACGGAATTCAATTATAAATCAATCTCAACAGCAGCAACAACAACAGCAACAGGATTCCAGTGAGACAGAGGCATTACTCCCGGGCATGTTGAATATTGATTTGCCAACTCAGTCAACATCTCCTCATGGTATTTTCTTTACTTCATTCTTGTCATTTCGAAGTTACATGATTACATATATTTATTATATTTGTATATTTTTAATGCGATCATTTTGTTGAAAAGGTTTAGTTTGCAGTACAACCGGCATGTCTAGCACTTCATTGACGTACCAAGGAAATAACGATGCAGCACTGATGTGTAGCGCTTATCTTGACGGCAAGATAATAGGAATGCAAGCTGCACAGTTCCAAAAATCGTTTTCCGTGGCTCCAACTGTTTCGGAAACGTTTTCCACAAATACATTTCCTTCCTCACCTCCTCTGTCTCTTACACCATTACCTATTACGACCACCACTGCATCACTAATCAGTGTTGCATCGACAACCACGTCGAGTTCATCAAGCATTTCTACTCCTCCAACCGTTATAGCTGTTTCCCAATCGCCTATCACTGCGAGCAGCGACGTTAGCCAAAATACTGCTATAAGTGATCGTCCGAAAGCCAAGCCTGTATCTAAGAAAGAAGGGAAGAACGTACGTAAGGCCACGTCAAGCATGGGGATGGCAAAATTGCAACAAACACAGGCAACCATAATGGCAGGACTACATCAACAATATCAACAGAAACAACGGCAACATCCTTCCTATCAAGTGCAACAGGTTCAGCAGTTACAGCAACTTAACCAACAATTGCAGCTTCAGTTGGATCAAGTACAGGTAAATTTTTATTTTTATTATTTAACTTCAGAAATTTTACATTTCACAAAAATCTTTATAAAACAATTAATTTCAACACACGCAAGTAGATTATTATTATTTTTAATTATTCTTTTTATGTAGATACAACAGCAATCGCAACAACCGCAATCGCAACCGCAACAATCTCACCAACAAACTCATTCGCAACAACAAACCAATATAGTTGCTAACAGTACAGGTATACTTATGCCTACTCAATTGATGTCTCATCTTCACCCGGTGCATCATCATTTGCATAGCCAGGTAACAGTACTGTATTATTATTTTTATTTGGATTAAAGCGCATTTAAATGAACGAACACATATCTTCAATAGCCAACAGCGCAAGAAAATCTTCCTGAGCAGGCTGATTCTGAGCTAACGCGAAAGTACAGAGAAAGCGCTTGCACATTTTTTGGCCCTCAGAAATCTAAAACTTTCTCTCCTAACGAAAGAGTGTTGAAATTGGAAGACGGAACGGATATTCCTATCGATGATGCGTTTGAAATTTTTCGTTCCATTAGTTTCGACGACGCAGTTGACAGTAAATATCTTTTTTCTTGAAACTTAAAAATTAATCAAAATTATTAATAAAAATAATTTAATATTTTTATTTTTACCTATATAGCGACAGAAGATCAAGAAAGCTCGAGTTGAAAAGATTGGATGTATCAAGTAATAAGGAACAACAGCAAACGCAACAACAGCAGCATTTGCATACTACTCAAATAGTTCAGCAAAGTGGAAGTCCTCATGGATCTCCAGAATATTTTACACCCGTATTGTCAGTCCCTTCAGTTTCTATACCAACCTTACCGTCGTTGCAAGTGACCAGCGCTGGCGTTCAAATAGAGGCAGACATATCAGCGGGCTTACAATTAACAAGTACGCAACCCTTACAAAATCCGACTCTAAAGAACCGTCTGAGAGCTTTCGAAGAAGGTTTCCGGCAGGGTAGTATACATTTTCGTGAATGTATGCAACATATTAGCAGCGATACTTTTCAACCTCAATTATTACTTCAGTCTTCTCCTATAAGTAAGTTTCTCAGATGTGCTTTTCGCGCGACTAATGCCATTGAATTCTTACAGTAGGGAGTAATTTCTCAGTTGCTTCAACTTTTCCATTGCCAGCATTTCCTCCCCAAGCATTACCGCAGAGTGGAGCAACGGGAATAATAGATACTATACCTTCTCATCAGTCGAGCAATTATGTGCAATCCACAACTTGCAGCACTAATCAAGTTCAAGTTGCTACCCAGACTCAAGCACCCGCTACTACAACAACCGCAAACGTTGCTACCTCTGATAAAAAACAGGTGTATACTGCACCAACACCTGGAAAGGGCAAAAAAGCTAGATATCCTCTCCTATCCCAACAACAGTCTTGCCAGCAACAACAAACTGCCAATGCTCAACAAACTCCTAATTTTCCTGCACAAAACTATCAACTGGATCCGGCAACAGGTAAGCGTTACGATGCTGCGATCATTACGATTGTATTGAAAATGCGCAATAATGATAATATTTAAAATAAATCATTAGGAATATCTTCATTGCTCATTTATTGATCAATGTACAACAGGTGTTCCAACAGTCGGAGGAGGATATGCGTCCAATCAAGTTCCACCCGCTCCATTTTCATGTATGGACGTTGATTCAGAAACCGATAGTAATCATGACACAGCACTAACTTTGGCTTGTGCAGGAGGGCATGAAGATCTTGTAGAACTTCTTTTGAGTCGTGGAGCAGATATAGGTAGATAAAACATTGTAATGAGTTGTTTACTCTTTAAAAATATCTGGAAAACTTAAAATCTCATGATCTTGTGAATTTTTATTCACATCATGAGATTCAATTTTTATTCACAGAATTTTTTTAAAATTTTTGCTTCTCTAAGAAAAAATTAATTTCTGTAAAAAAATATTTAGAAACTCTAAGAAATCTTTTCATGAAATTTTAGTAGATCTGGTATATATATTGTCGTATCGTTTATTAATACGTAATGAATTTAAAATTTATCAAATGTAATATATTTAACAAAATATTTAAGAAATATTTATTGCATAAATATTATAAAATATAGAGAAATTTTTTATCTTGAATGAGCAACATATAATTTTTTTATAGAACATAGAGATAAAAAGGGATTTACGCCACTTATTTTGGCCGCAACGGCTGGTCATCAAAAAGTAGTCGAGATTCTACTCAATCATGGAGCTGATATAGAAGCACAGTCAGAACGTACCAAGGATACACCATTGTCTCTCGCATGCAGTGGAGGGAGATATGAAGTAGTTGAGCTTTTGCTTAATCGTGGTGCAAATAAAGAACATCGCAATGTTTCTGACTATACACCTTTAAGTTTGGCTGCATCCGGTGGTTATGTGAATATAATAAAGCTTCTATTGGGCCATGGTGCCGAAATTAATTCACGTACTGGTTCGAAACTGGGTATATCTCCATTGATGCTTGCTGCAATGAATGGTCATACTGGTAAGAAGATTGATCAAATTTTAAAAATATTTAATCTTAATAGCAGTTAATATTTGACAATAAATCTCAATTTGTTGTAAATACAAAGATTTTATCATGATTAAATATCCAAAAAAGTATAATATTTTTATGTACAGCGGCAGTCAAATTACTATTGGATATGGGCAGTGATATTAATGCGCAAATCGAGACGAATCGTAACACAGCATTAACACTCGCATGCTTTCAAGGGAGACATGAAGTAGTCAGTCTTCTTCTCGATCGTAAAGCTAATGTTGAGCATCGAGCTAAGGTAAATATATTTAGAATTGTTCAAATGTGATATATATGATTTTTCTATGTAACACGAAATAATATTTTTTTTCTTCTGTAAAGACGGGTTTGACTCCTCTAATGGAAGCTGCTAGTGGCGGATACGTTGAAGTCGGCCGTGTTCTTCTTACCAAAGGTGCAGATGTTAACGCAACGCCAGTTCCATCGTCTCGTGATACTGCCCTTACTATTGCTGCTGATAAAGGACACTGCCGTTTTGTAGAACTTTTACTAGCAAAGTAATGTGTTATTGCGTTACATTTCACTTAATAAAATAATAATTTTATGATAATTCAGTAACAAAGATTTTGTCTTTTTAGGGGGACTCAAGTTGAAGTAAAAAATAAGAAAGGAAATAGTCCACTGTGGCTAGCTGCAAATGGTGGCCATCTTAATGTTGTGGACATTTTATATCATGCAGGTGCAGATATTGACTCGCAAGATAATCGTAAGGTACATGCAATAATTTGTTTAACGAAAGACTTACGTATCTATTCTGATTAAATTTAATAAAATATATAAAATATATTTTATAACGCTTAGGTTTCTTGTCTAATGGCCGCATTCCGCAAAGGTCACACTAAAGTAGTCAAATGGATGGTAAATTATGTTACACAATTTCCAAGCGATCAAGAGATGACAAGATATATCGCGACTGTTAGCGACAAGGAACTTCTAGAAAAATGTCAAGATTGTGTAAAATTAATAAGAGCTGCTAAAGAAACACAGGCTGCTAAAGCAAACAAGAATGCCACCATACTGTTGGAAGAACTTGACATGGAAAAGACGAGAGAAGAATCGAAAAAAGCGGCTGCCGCGCGAAGACGAGAAAGAAAGAAAAAGAAGAAACATGAAAAGAAGGAGGAAAAACGTAAGCTTCACGAAGAATTTAAGAAAAATGAGACAGCTTTCGAGGATAAGGAAGAAAACGGAAAGAAATCGGGTGATGAGGAATGCGATCGAGCGGACGACAGCGAACACGAGGGTGGAGACGAAAGAATGGAGAACGTTCCATCTCCCGTAAATAGAAGTCCGGAAGATCCAGATAGAGAAGAGGGCGATAGTGGAATAGATGCAAACAGTCAGGGTAGTTGTAGCAGTAATGATGTAAAAGCGAGAGAGAAAAAAAAGGAGAAAAAGAAAAAGAAAAACAATAGTTCTAATAACAACGACAAGGATACGTCCCCACAGCGTTCGTCCAAGACCCTTCTGTCACAAAACACCAATATATCTCAAAATATAGCATCATCGATTAAATCTCAAAGTAACAATTCAGAAAAGTAAGTATTTAACATTTTGTTATTTAAAATATAAATTAGTCTGTTAAAATGTATAAAGTACTGTCTACAATACGCGGAGTAAACTTGACCCTCCTAAAAAATAGGAGTAGATGTAAGAAACATACTCTGGTAAGGGTGCTAGAATATAGACGTAAGCAAAATTATTTTTATTTTTTACTTTATATATAAATAAAGTAAAAAATAAAAATAATTTTACTTATGTTTATATTCTATATATATATATATAAATAGACAAATCTTTAAAATAATTTTTATTTCTCTTTTTGTAAAATAACAAAGCGTGTACGTTACATAATTATATAAATTTAACATTAATTGTATATTAAATATTGAAATATCCATTCTTCTTAATATTGTTATATATTGATTTTTTTCAGACGAATGATGACTAACATTAACAATACAGCATCTACAACTTCGGTTACAACTAGATCATCCACTACCGTTAGTTCTGATCGAAAGTTGAAAGGTCAACTAGTTTTTGAATCCTCTAGGCATCCTGCTGATAGAGAAGATTTTGAAGCAACTGGTAACGAGACTTATGTTTCTGGTAAAGGAAAAAAATCTTATAATAATCAATACGATGGAGAAGCTTTAAATACGTCGACAAAAGCAAATAACACCAGCCCCAAGCAAAGCGGAAAACGCGAGGAAGGATGGAAGGAAGTTGTACGAAAGTAAGATATGTTTTTAAAAATATTTATTTAATATTTATTTAAAAAGTGTAAATTTTTTAAATATTTATTTAAAAAGTGTAAATTTTTTTCATCTTGATATAACATTATTTTTACGATTGAAGTCACATGCGATATAATTGTGATTTATAGGGGACAATCGGATGATTCGGGCAGATTTATGAACTCACCGTTCCGCTCAAAGAAGGTATCCGTACCCATCCATGCTATTAGTAGAGTTATTGGTAGAGGTGGCAGTAATATAAATGCTATTCGCATGGCCACCGGTGCACATATCGAAGTAGAAAAGCAAAGTAAATGCCAAGTGGAAAGATGCATTACAATTAAGTGAGTATTAGATACTATATATCTTATATAATAAAGTTTTTATATATATATATATATATAATATATGGAAGAGAAGGAGAAAGAGAAAGAAGTAGAAGTAGAAATAGAAATAGAAATAGAAATAGAAATAGAAATATGCTATATACAGGTCGAAAGAAATTTTTTTAAGTGTTAAAGTATTATCTTTAAAAATACATAGATATAGGCTGAGTACATGTTAATTAACAAACTACAACGCGAAATATGGCATTTTCTCGGCAAGCAGGATCTTGGTTGCTAAAATCTTTAATATGAAATAAATTCAATTAATTATATTACCAACTACGTGCCGCTTTGATTTAGCAGACTTTCAACGTAGTGGCTCTATAATAATTCGATAATCAATATTATTAATATCGATTAAAATCCCTTTTATTATCCCCCTCACCGGAAATATATATTGCGAAAAATATCACCTCAAGGGATCAAGCAGACGATCCAGGTTCGATAATATAATTAATTAAATTTATTTCATATTAAAGACTTAGTTGCTCAGACTTTAGCAACTAAGATCCTGCTTGCCGAGGAAATGCCATGTTTCGCGTTGTTATCTTTAAATTTATTTTGTTTTTAGAGGTTCAGCTGAATCTATAAAGCAGGCTAATGCATTGATATCACTACTTATTAAGGATCCAGATGTAGATATAATATCGATAACGAAATCGAAGTCCAATGTTGTAACAACTTCCGCATGGGACAAATCTATTTCCACCGTTG